CCAGGAGGCCAGCGACTACCTCGAGTCGCGCGTCCTAGCCAGACTGGCCCAAGTCAAGGCGGATGGAGTCACGCTCGAGGTGGGGCAGGCGTTGCTGGGGGCCACCCGCGGCGGAGGCCCCGCCCCCGTGGGGGGGGGGCAGGGGCGGCCGTGGACGAGATAGGCGCCAAGGCGGGCAATCTCGGAGGCGAGCCCGACGTGGCGATCAGTCCGACGACAGCAGCGCTGAGGAGGAGGCCGACTTCAGACTTCCAGCAACTGTAACCATTCCTGCGCCGACCCGCATTCGCGTGGGGCGTCAGGGCGAGAGAGATCTTCGCCGGCGCGGGACGCTGGTCAGCTGCGATGGAGGAAGCCAGCTTCCCCGCGGCAGAGCACGTGGAGCTCTGCGAGCAGCCGTTTCGCAGACGGGGCCGCGAGCAGATCGCGACGTTCTTCTAGCAGAAGTGCGGGGGCGCATCCTGCTGGGCGCAGGCGCCGCGCCGAGCCCAGAGGAAGCGAACGTCTGGCAGCTGGGGCCACCGTGCGTGTCCCACGCGGTCTGGATGTTGACCAACGGTGGGACTAGGACCTTCGATGGGGCCCGACGACGACGGTGCCGACCCGGACGAGGCCGCCTCGAACATTTGCACCGACTTCGCCGCCGACGTCTGCGAGCGGCTCGATGCAAACGATCGGGGATGGTTCCTCGAATCCAGCTGCAGGGGCTGCCGCTGTCCCAAGATTGGGGCCGCAAGCGCATCGGGCTCTTCATTGGGGGGACAGGCGCGAAGGTCATCGCGATCGCGATGTGCGAGTGGGGCCTGGCACCCCTGGACCGGCCGAGCAAGAAGCGCCGGAAACTGACAATGTGGCTTGTGAGCAAAGGCCTCTGCCCATGGGCCCCGGCCTTGGCGAGGCGTTGCCCAGGGCGTCGCTGGCGCGTCCCGCTGGAGGGGCCGCTGCCCTGCAACGTCGCCGACCAGCAGGCGGCAGCCTTCAACGCCCTGGGTGAGACCGCGCTCACCGAGGCGGAGCACCTGAGGGTCAGGAGCTTGCTGAACCGCATCGCGCTGGCCGGCGTTTACGCACAGGGCCGTGACGGCGACGAGGAGTGGAGGCAGCCGATCCTCGGGGTGGAGATTCTCAGACCCCTGAACGACCTGATCCTCGGGATGGCCCCGGACATCTTCCAGTGGGCGCTCGTCGAGATCAAGAGCGAAGGCCGGCGCCTGCCCCCCCTCGACGGTGCGAAGCAGGCCCTCTTCTTCGGCCGCGACAAGGGCGGGCGCGCCCAGGCTGCTCTCGGCACCGAGCCCAGTGGCTCCACCGCGGGGCGCGGGCCATCGGAGGCGCTCCCACGCCGCTGAGTCAGCAGTGTCGAGGGGAACTGGAGTCGCTCTGTTTCCGCGCGGGACTGCGAGGCATGAGGAGGGCGTGACGCGCTGGGCAATGGGCGCCCGGGCTGTGCGCAGCGCAGGCATTCGCCCTGAAGTCCGCGGCCCGCGGCTCCCTCCCGAGCGCGCTGCAGAGCAAGCTGGAGGTGCTCAGCAAGGAGACCAGTGCGAGGGCAGAGGCGGCGAGAGCCGGCGAAAGCCTGGCGGGTGATGCGGTGCATCCCACAGGAAGTTGCAGCGACTTCATCGAGGCCCCCCAACTTTTCGACGCCAGCCTTCCCCGGCATCAGCAGGGGTCCGGCTCGAAGGGCAGGGCGGGCCCGCGCGAGGCAGGGCTGAGAGGTCGCAGGACGAGGGTGCCCTGATCGATTTCGTGATATCCTGGCGATGGTGTTGGCGTGCGCCGATGGCGCGGTGAAGCAAAAACTATCCGCCATCAGGTATGCGCACCTGGTCGTCGGGTACAGCGATCCGCTCCTGCACGGGGGGAAGGCCGTGGCCGACTTTGGCTGGCCTGAAGAGGCTCCAGGGTCCCAGCCACCGGCGCAAGAAGCCAGTCACCCCACGGATGCTGCTGTGGTGAAAGCAGCGCATCCATCAGGGCGCGGGCCTCAGCCCAGCCGACCCCGCCACCGTGTGCGCGGCCATCCTGGTCGCCTTTTTTTTCTCCTTACGAGCGTCGGAGTACTTGGTGACGAACAAGTTCTGGTCGCTCGAGAGAATGGTGGTCCACGGCGAGGATGTGGGGGCGAGATCCAGCGGTGAGCGAGTGGGCTCGTTCGCTCGTGCAGGCGAGTGCGTCTTGCACATGAAGGGGCCGAAGACGGACCAGTGCAACGTGGGAGCCGTGCGCAATCAGTGCGCTACCCATTCGACGTTGTGCCCGATCGCGGCGCTCGCGGCCATGCAGGCGCAGCGCCCGCGGCGCTTCGACCGCGGCGCGGAGGCGCGGGTGCCCCTGTTCCGGTGGGCCTCGGGCGCGCCGGTGAAGCGCGAGGAGGTGCAGCACTTCCTCGCGCTGGCAGGCCTCGCGTCGGGCCTCAAGCGAGAGGAGATCGGTTCTCGTTCTCTGAGGATCGGCGGGGCCACAGCGATGTGCCATGTCGCGGGCGATATCGCCAAGGTCCAGCGGTGCGGCAGGTGGGCGTCGGACTCGTTCCGCGCCCACCTCTGGGAGTCGCGCGAACCGCAGCGGGGCGTGGCCCAGCGCGTGGCCAACGACCGCTCGGAGCAGACGACCTCGGCAGCAAGGCCCCAGGAGGGGGCCGCCGGCACCAGCGCTGGGCGAGCTGCCTCGGTCTCTCGGCCCTGGGCGGCCGCGGCGGCAGTCGCGCTGGGACGCGCGGCGGCAACCGGTCGGGGGCTGTCGACGACCGCGGAGGACGATGGGTACATCGGCCTGCGCCTGAGCGAGGGCAGGAAGGGCGTCGTCGCGATCCCCCTGTGGACCGCGGTGAAGGTTATCGTCATCCTGGTGGTGGCGTTGGGCATGGCCCTGGCGCTGGCCTGGCACTGTTGGCGCAGTGCGCGGCCGAGCAGGCGGCCCAAGGGCCCGCGCGAGGCGCCGGAGGAAGCGGCCGGGGGGAAGCCGCCCAAGAAGCCCAAGGCGGTCTATTGCGAAGCTGGGGTCCAGGGGCCGGTTCGCCTCAATTTCGCGCGCTACCTCCGCAAGAACCAGGGGTGCCCGCGCGGGGGCGGTCGCGCGCGAGGTGGCCGACAAGCAGCGTCGCGACTGACCGGCAGCGCCGCCGGCTGTGGGGCCTGAATTCCGGGGGCTCAGCCGCCGGCCTCGGCCCAGCGAGCTCAGCAGCGCCGCCGGCCGGGGGGCCTAGCGAGCGATGAGGTGGAAGAGGATTCCGCCGCCGGCCTCGGCATGGCGAGCGAAGCCCGCGCGGCATTTCAAGTGCTTGCGGGTGGTGTGCAGTCAGGGCAGCAGGTTGCTGGGGCGGCGGCTGCGCGCCCGAGGGCAGCCGGCGCCACGCTGGAGCCCGCGCCGCCTCCCATCCGCGGTTGGGCTCAGCAGCGGGGGGGGGCGACAACCCTCGGGGCTGCGTGGCCGGCCGCTCATCGGCCGCGCCCGCCTGTGACGCTCCGCAACCCGCGCAGGGCGCCCGCGGGCGCCTGGCGCAGGCAGCAGACGCCGGCGGCCGTCTCCAGGCCCCGCCCAGTTCCCGACGGCGGAGGCCCCGCGTTTTTCTTCGAGCCTAGGCAAGGCCGTCGCGGGGACTGCCGTGCAGGTGGCTCCCGCAACCAGAGGTGGCGGCAGAGCTCCCTGACGCGTGGCGTAAGATGGTTGTTGTGGTGCGCGCGCGCAGCGCCATGTCATCGCCATCTTCATCATTTGAGTCCTGCCTGCTGCTGCCTCCTCACCTTGAGCCTCACGCCACAGTTAGGCTTAAGTTTCGGTAGTGCGTACTGCTGACCCAGACAGCTTAGTTGTTCGGCGTTATAGCTCAAACGCTTGGCTGTCTGGGACCCCAGGATGCGGGGGCTTTGCTCTCTCTCTCTCTCTCTCTCTGTCTCTCTCTGTCTGTCTGTCTGTCTGTCTGTCTGTCTGTCTGTCTGTCTGTCTGTCTGTCTGTCTGTCTGTCTGTCTGTCTGTCTGTCTGTCTGTCTGTCTGTCTGTCTCTCTCTCTCTCTCTCTCTTTCTCTTTCTCGCTCCCCTCAAGCTCCTTGGGGTCAAGTGGCCCACCCTTGGGATATAGTCCCTCCCGGCCCTGTTTAGCAAGCTCCGCCGGACCTGACATGTACGTCAGGTTGCAGAGCCCCCTGACGCGTGGCGTAAGATGGTGGAGCTGGTGCGCGCACGCAGCGCCATGACATCGACATCATCATCGTGTGAATCTGCCTGCTGCTGCCTCCTCATCTTGAGCCTCATGCCTCAATTAAGCTCAAGTTTCGGTAGTGCGTACTGCTGACCCATACAGCGCCCATACAGTCAACCCGCATGGTAAGCATGGGCAGCCTTCCCAAGGGTACCCTTGCATCCTCGCCTCCTCGGCCCATCCTTGGCCGCTTTCGTTGGCCGCGCCCCGCTCGAAGAGCTTCGACATGGGCGTCCTAGGCCCTTGCATCCTGATCGCGCGTGCTCATTATACTGGGGGTGGACAGATGCCCCACTCATGACACGTCGACTAATGAATTGTCCGTTTTCGGTTCTCGAGAGGGCGCCGCGGCCGCCATCTTCCAGGCCTGCGCCCGCCAGGCTTGGGCCCGAGGCCGTTCTTATTAAACCACGTTTTGCTAAAAAGGGGTTTTGTCCATCCCCGATGATATTGGCCGATTGTATTCTGCGTTCTTGATGAGCGTGGGGGGGGGCTTCACCCCCGCCGGCAGCCCCACATCGACCTCTGTCGCGGGTAGCCACCGCGCGCCGAAGGCGCTCCAACCCCCGCCGCGGCGCGACGACGAGGCGAGGTGGACCCCCGTCGGGGGGGTACGCCCCCCCACGTTTCCTGAGAAACCTGGAACAATCTTTTTGTCCTCACTGAGCACCCCTCCCAAAAAGGTCAGCGGTCTCTTTTTTCTCATCGCTCAGGGACTTCTGAAGCCTCCAGAGGCCGCCGCCGCCGCCGTCGTCGTCGTCGTCGTCGTCGTCGTCGTCGTCGTCGGTGGGTCTCCCAGGAGTTGGCTCCCGACGGTGGGCGCGGGCCACGGGCGGCGCCGGCAACGGGCGGGCTCTCTCACGCGCCGGGCGGGGATCGCGGGCGGGGGCGCGCAGCGCGCGCGGCGCGCCCTCCCCGAACTTTCGCGGGTACGGCAGGGCCGCCGCGGGCGCCGAGCTGTTGGGGCGCAGCTGTGGCTCGGCTCGGTGTTCGGACGAGGAGGAGGAGGAGGAGGAGGAGGAGGAGGA